CTTGCTCCTCCCCTGATGGTTCTCTGGATAATTTACAAGAAAGCGACCATAGCAAATCTGCAGAGGGACGTGGCGAACTCGTCCAATTCTCTATCCACAATAGAATCTGATTCACATTCTGGAGAGTCAAACACACAGCCTGAGACATCTACATCTACTTATGATGAGCGGCTGTGATACGGATTTAAGAGCTGTAGAACTTGTGATTTTTATCCCCCAATTTAATGCCAAATGTTCCAACTTGCTCGATAATTTCCGAAAGAATATTTTGTAAATTCATTTTGTGATATCCAAGCCATTGGCTGAGTTCTACCAGTATGTTAGCAGACTGTGATTTTTAATGTTTCAAAACCTACGAAAATGCCTTTCTTTACCTGTGCATTTCTTCAATTTTGATATTGGTATATGGTATTTTTTCCAAATACTCTGCAAAACTTGATTGATGGATCTGTAAATTTTCCTATAAGAATTTCATTGCATATACCGTCTGAGTAAATATTTTGTTGTTTGCATTCGAAACAAGGTTTTTGACACCTACAATGTTTTGGTTTATGTTTGTTTTGGTTTGTTTGGGTTCTTTTTTTCATCTACATAGTGCATTCAGCAAAATTCACCTGCGTGGATTTTCAAAAATTTTTGTTGAACTTTCGTTATGAACAGTTCTATGAAATAGAGTTTTCTTTTGGTTTTTCAGAAGAACGTGACTGAATCCGTTACGAACGGAATGCAGCAATACCTTGGAGACGCTAGTATACCAAGGTAGTATCTTCCTTTCTACAAGCAAACTTTTTTTTACCACAAAGCCCCATTTTTTTTTCATGGCTGAAAATTTTCGGTGAACTCCAGTTTTTCCGTTCTCAGCTACTTCGCTACCAAATTTCTTTTATTATTTTTTTCATTTTTTATGTTTTATATTTTTTTAATATTCATTTATATAGGAGATGTGCAATTGGCTTTATAATAATGCAATAGAAAAAAACTACTTGAAGATCTCAAATCTAAAAAATCAAATTTTCCTATCAAAA